TTCCATAGTTATTTTACCTTCAGGTTCTAGGACTTCAGGGCAGTTTTCCTTTATGATTTCCTGAAGGATATTGTCCAGGCTCTTTTTTTCATCATGGCTTTCAGGTAGGCCTATAATTTTTAAATTGTCTCTCCTGAATCGATTTTCCAGGTCAGCTGTTTTACCCATGAGGTATTTTACATTTTCATGTATTTTTTAATTTTTTTGTTTCTGTTTGACTGATTCTTGCTCTCTCATAGAGTCATTGGTTTCCATTTGTTCAATTCTAATTTTTAACATATTGTTTTTTTCTGTTAGATTTTGTACTTTCTTCTCCAATTGGTCAATTGTATTTTTAAGGGATTTATTTTCTTCATTGTACTTTTTTTCCAATTGGCCAATTGTGTGTTTTAGGGACTTGTTTTCTTCAGTGTACTTTTTTTCCAATTGGCCAATTGTACTTTCAAAGGACTCCTCTACCTCTCATTTGACTTTTAAAATCCTTCTTGAGCTCTTCTAAGAAGGCTTTTTGGGCTTCAGACCAGTTCATATTCCCTTTTGATGTTGCAGATGTGGTTTTGATGACAGTGTTGTCCTCTTCAGAATTTCTGTCTTGATCTTCACTCTTCTCATAATATGAATCTATCGTACATTTCTTTTTACTCATGGTATTTCTTTATTCCCTGGCCTTTAAAGAGATTAAGCTCTCCTGCTGGGGAGCAGAGGGCACTGACCCAAGCTTCTTGTGTTGGGAGCCTAGGTCTTGGTCACTGACTTTGTGTGCTGGGGCCTCTTATGTTGGCAATTGGAGGCTGTAGGGTTTTGGCAGCTTATCTGGTGTTGGGAGGGAATCAGCAAGGCTGGGACTTTCAGGTAAATCTAGGTTGCCTGCTTTTCCTTTCCTTTAGCTTTGTTCAGCTCCTTTTAGATGGGGGCTGCAGGGTGTTTATCTGCCTGGGGCCCCTTGCAGTGCTGCCTCCCTTAGTTCTGCTGAGGCATTGGCAGACTCCTTTGCTGTAGAATGCCGAGGCACCTGGTGGTTTTCTGAGCTGGTTTCCACCAGTTACCCCACCCTCACTGAGGCACTCGAAGGTACAGCTGTTGGAATTTGCCTGCTGGACCACCTGGGCTTTGGGATCTCCTCCTGGTTAGCAGTTGGAGGCTGTGGGGTTCTGACAGTTTACCTGGTGTTGGGCTGGAATCAACAAGGCTGGAACTTTCAGGCAAATCTAGGTTGCTTTCTTCAGCTCCTTTCAGATGAATGCTGCTGGGTGCTTATCCACCTGGGGCCCTTTGGAGTGCTGTTTCCCTTATTTTTGCTGAGGCACTGGGAGACCCATTTGCTGTAGAATGCCAAGGCGCCAGAATCTCCTCCTGGTATGCCAAAATGGGTCTTTCCCCTAGTTGGCTGGGATGCATCCTATTCGGTACTGCTCCCCTTCCCCCAGGGTAAGAGGTGCCTTTCCTGTTAATCCCTCTAGCTACCTGGGCTACTGCACTGCTGCACCCCATCTTTCTTCTGGTTCAGCTGTTCCAGGGTTTTTTCTGGGGTGATATTTTCTGGGTTTTCAGAGGTTGATAGGGGAGGGTGAGAGCAACTACCTTTTTACTCCACCATCTTGGCTCCCGGAAGTGGAAGTTGCATTACATTTTTGTAGTTCAGTTTTGAATAACCAGTGTTATATAGACCTCAGCTTGAAACTTTTAGGTTAGTTTCACCACATTATCCCTTTTATGATTGAGTAAATGAGAAGCATAATGGTACAGTGGATAGAGGGCTGGCCTTGATATCAGGAAGACCTGGTTTGAAGTTCCGTCAATGACACTTAATGAGTGACTATAGCCAAATGCTTCCCAGTTCTCCATTCATTTCTCTAAGGCAAGCTGGAAGGATGAGGGAAAAGTGTTTCCGATCCACCTTATACTAATAAAACTATAGGTCTGGACAAAAAAAAAATGTGCTGAATCTTAAAGATAGGGTTTATAGTAACAGTAAGAGGTTAAATTATTCACCCACCAACACACAGCCAATATATCAGAGGCAGGACTAGAATCTAGATCTTCCTCACTTTTAAATCAGCTCTTTATCTACTTCAGAAATGCTACTTTGTCTTTTTTTTTAAGCAACTAAGCAAAATGAAAGAAATTATTTTAAATGTTGGAAACCTTCTACTGGTTGTTCTTCAGTTTCTCTCTCTCTCTCACTCTCTCCTTTTCAGCAAGCATAATTTTAAAGGGAACAAACATGGATGCTACAGGGATCATTGTGGTGACAGGCAGTTTGGTCCAAGTATTGATTCCCTTCCCAACTCTCGGAGAATAGATTAACGGTTGGGTTATATATGGGGATCAGTTGTTATTTGAGAAACTATGCTTAACTCCTTTCAAGATCACTCAGAGCCATATGGTGCCCTGTTTTGTATTCTAAAATTATAGAAAGGTGCACAGAAGGAAATGGTAATGAAATAAATACTTCAGAATTTGGTAGCAAACCTCCTCCCCTAGCCAGGCATTTGAAATAAGGGCTGTCTTGATTAAAAAACAACAACAAACAAATAAACCAAACCAAACAAAAAAACTTAGATCAAAATCAAAAAGGCTTAAATACTTCAGATAAGAAGGAAAATTCTAATAGCTGCAGACAAGTTGTGACTTCCTGGGAAGCCCAGAATAAAGAAGAGGGTAGTCTTGTGAATGAGGTGAAACAGGCTTAAACAAGGACACCTGAATCACTGAGACAGTAGAATAGAGTTTGGTAATAGTAATAAATTTGATTTCTTTTACATGAAAGACAAACAGTACGGAAAATTTTGTTAAAGATGGTAAATTACCTTTCAGCTTTAGCAAGGAACAATTAAGATAGTTGTGCATATTTGCTGTGTGGTTTTACTGGACTGAGTTCTGGGCTTGATGTCAGGAAGATCTAGATTCCAATTCCACCTTCAGCATCACAGGTAAATTCATTTAGCTTTTCTGAGCCTTATTTACCTTATTTGAAAGATTGAGGTTGACCTCATAGAGCTTTTGTAAGTCTCAAATGACAATGCATGTTTGTGAAACTTCTAGTGGTTTATAAATGTGAGTTATGTTATGAAATATCACACACCAGCTGCATGATCAAGGGCAAATCATTTTAACCTTTCAGTGTCCTTAGGAAACTCTCTAAGACTCTAAATCTTCTTTTTTTTTTGGCAATTGGAGTTCAGTTTTTTTAGGCAATTGGGGTTCAGTGACTTGCCCGGGGTCACACAGCTAGTAAGTGTCAAGTGTTTGGTCTGAGGTCAGGATTCGAAATCAGGTCCTCCTGACTTTAGGGTCAGTGCTCTATCCACTGCGCCACCTAGCTGCCCCTCTAAGACTCTAAGTCACTGAGGAATTGCTGATCAGATTCAGTTCAGGGAGTTTCCACACTAGTGGTCTCCTAGGACCAAAAGAAAGAGAGGGGAGGAGAAAGACATACAGACCCAGAGGTGAGAAACACATAGAGATCATGTATGTCATATTTAAATTGTATCTTACCTGTGTTTGTTGTTTTATAGAGTCTTCAGAAGATTTTCCCTTGGGCTGACTCTGACTTCATTACATTCAAGTATATAGAAAGTAATTTCACATTCTCAAAGTACTTAATCATTTTTTTTCATTTAAATTCCTGTCCTTTAACATGACATTTATCTGTCTGTCTATCTGCCTGTCTTCTATTAACAAGGACATTTAAAACATGTTTTGATTATAATAGTATTAAGACAAACTTCATTGGTAATTTTTAAAAAATGACAGAATGGAGAATGAAAACTTTGGAACATTCCTTAAACAACAACTTAAAAAAATCTAGTATGTTGGGTTGTTTGTTGCAAAATATTTACATATGAAGAAGGGAAAAGTTTTTCCTGTAAGATTTACAAGTGACCAGGGTTGGGTTGGGGCTGAGAGACACTCATTTGCATGGTAACTTTGGATTTAATTTGTTTACTGCCAAGGGTTCTTATAGGAGGAGACAATGGTGATGTGTTTAATATTGATGAGTTTAACCTCTTGGGAGGTATAGCATATGAACTCTCCTTGAATACAAATGTTGCTTGATTTATACGGCAAACACATGGAATTTTGAAGATTAACATTTTAATTAATACCTTGCCCCATGAATCACTCACGTTCCTTATTCCCCACCCCTGCTGTAAATTTCCCATCAGAAAATCAATTTTTGAAAATGAGTATTTTGTTATGGCAAATAGAGATTGCAGCAACCATGAAGAAAATGGAGTCTAATGTATAGTCTCTTCTTAGCCATATGTTCAACTAGATGCTCAATTATTAAAGACACTACATTCATTCAAAAAGAAAATTATTGATGTTCATGTCTGTAAAGGCAGCAGATCTAGCCTTCAGGTGAAGAGAAACTAAGTGACAGTAACATCATGGTGCATACAAATTTCAGAGTTTGTCTTTCCTCCTCATTCTTCCTCTAAACTTTTTGTCTTTAACTTTTCCTTTTTTCTTTTTTTCTGAAAGTCTCTGGACTTTGAAGTTCTGACATTGGATATTCCACTTGACCAGCTCTTAGGGCAGAGACAATGAACCCGATTCACAAGCTAGAGGTGAAAGTCCCTGGGATGCAGGCAACCTTTCTTGAGCTTCCTTTCGTAGCGGGGCAAAAGAGAGGAAGAGGGGGCGGTGGCAACCCTCCCAGAGAGCAGCCTAAGCAGCAGCTGCGTCAGGAGCAGCCATTGGAAGGAGCTGTCTGCGGCGGGGAGTGCTGCACTGAGCATGTTCGAGCCCATCCTAGTCCAAGCTGCAGCAGCAGCAGCAGCAGCAGCCACAGCAGCAGGAGCCGCCTCTCATTATGCAAAGCAGCGGCTCCGGCAGATGGAAGAGGGGCCAAACAAGAGCGCGTTTCCTTTCCTGCTGGGCAGTTTGCACATTGGCCTGGCTTCCCCGGGACTCTCCTCCAGACCAAGCCGGGGAATGAAAACCTCTGGGATGGCCTGACTGCGGGCTGGGCGGCATTGCAGCGGGATTGCAACATGGGAAACCAGGATGGCAAATTGAAGAGGAGCGCAGGTGATGCCTCCCTTGAAGGAGGGGGAGGTGGTGGCTGTGGCGGGGAGGATGCTGTTGGGCCCAGGGATACTGAAAGCACCAAGAAGGGGAGCGGGGGCAAGAAGGCGCTGGGCAAACATGGAAAGGGGGGAGGGGGAGGTGGCAGTGGAGAGCCTGGCAAGAAGAAGAGCAAGTCGGACTCGAGAGCCTCGGTTTTTTACAACCTGCGGATCAGGAAGAACCTATCTAAGGGAAAGGGGGGTGTCGGTTCTCGGGAAGATGTGCTGGACTCCCAAGCCCTGCAAACAGGGGAGCTGGACAGCGCTCACTCCTTGGTCACCAAAACCCCTGATCTCAGCCTGTCTGCTGACGAGGTGGGCCTGTCAGATACAGAGGGCACAGACCCCTTTGAAGTCACCCGTCCAAGTGCGGTAAGGCCTGCGGGGTTCGGGGTTCAATCTGCCACAGAAGGGGATTTGGAAACAGCCCCTGGGGCGCAAGATGGACAAAGGACCAGTTCAGGCTCAGATACAGACATCTATAGCTTTCATTCGGCCACAGAGCAGGAGGACTTGCTCTCAGACATTCAGCAGGCAATTCGACTCCAGCAGCAGCAACAACAGCAGCACCAGGGCAGTGCGGTCAGCTCCGGGGACCCTTCAGCACCCCTGGGTTCTGCTCCTCTCCAACCGGGGGCCTTTCTTGGCCTGGACCACTTTCTATTGGGGCCTGTTAGTACGGCTGGAGAAGCACCAGGGAGTCCAGATACGGAGCAAGCTTTATCTGCCCTCTCTGACCTCCCAGACAATTTGCCCCCTGAGCTTCCAGTGCAGGGGAAGCCACCGCCCCCTAGCGGCGTGGATTGGGAGGTCACTGCCCCCGTAGCTACTGTGCCGTCGACCACAGAGTCTCCTCCTTCCACTGCCTTTCCCTTCCCAGAGCCGGGGTTGGAGGAGACTGCAACTGTACCTTCTGTTGGGGGAGCAGGAGATACAGATGATGATGATGAGGATGCATTTGAGGATGCTCCCCGGGGTTCTCCCGGGGAGGAGTGGGATAAGGGCACCCAGGAAACTCCCTCCGAGGTAGGAGAGGAAGAGGGTGAAGTACCAGGGGCATGTCCAACGCCTCCCCAGATGGACAGCCCTGCCCCCAGTCCCCGTTGCTTCAAGCCTTACCCACTAATTAATCCTTGTTACATCAAGACCACCACTAGGCAACTTAGCTCACCTAACCACTCACCTTCACAGTCCCCCAGCCAGAGCCCCCGGTTTATGAGAAGGCTGGAGTCTTCTTTGAGCCGGAGTCAGAGGGCTACCTTGGCCTCAAATGCCACCCAGGTCAAGAAGCACAAGGCAAGTGGCAGCAGCCTGGTGGGGGGACTTAGCCGCTCTGCTGACTGGACAGAAGAGGTGGAGAGGAGGGAGCCCAGGGTGGGTGGCTCAGCAGACCTGCTTGAGTGTGGGGCAGCCCAGGAAGGAACTGATGGAACCCCCCCAACTCTATCCAGAAAGTCCTCAGGAGTGCAGCCTGCCACTGATGGCTTCCAGAATGTATTCACGGGTGAGTTGACTTCTCCTACCTTTTTCTCAGACTTCCACTGTTTCTAGAGACCCTAGTACTGTCATTCATATCACAATCCTCCTATCTCACCTTTTAAAAAAATCTGTACCAAATTTGTTGTGAATTGTTTTTTTTTGGGGGGGGGTTATTTGTTTGTTTGTTTGTTTGTTTGTTTTTGCAACCCTTTACTTCCTGCTGCCTTCATTCCAACCAGTAGGTGAAGTCTTCATATGCTCTGTTTGGTCAACAAGAGCACATGATCTTGAAAGTATTTGACAGATTGCATATTTTCCTGACCTCTTGCCCTCATTCCCTCCTCTTCCAAGCACAACACTTCGATTAGTTTGTGTTGTCCCTATTTATATTATGCCTTGTGTCATATGCTTAGTTCTGTATGTATATGTGTTTCTCCTTCCCCTTTGATTATAAGCTACTTGAGGGTAAGTATTGTCATTTTTATTTTTCTATCTTCAAAAACTACTACAGTGACTTGTACATAGTAGGGACTTAATACATCTTTATTGAATTGAATTTACTACAATAATCGAGAGGGACATAATTAGTCCTGTGAAACATATGATCAAAATTAGCCATTGCAAGGACGTTCATTTTTCTTCCTAACTGGTAAATCCATCCATGTTCTCTTCAGTGACAGAGAAAAGTAATAAGTTTGAATGACTAAAAGACGTGCTGTATCAAGATTTCATCACAAACTGAAAGCTAGCACAGGAGCATAAAACAGCCTTTAGTTTTGTTTTGTTTTTTTCCTAATTCTCCCAAGCTGAACTCTGTTCAAAATAATTTTCCTACTTCTGCATCTTTGCCCACACCATTCTTTCTTACTTGATATACATTTCCCTGTTTCCCTTCCTCTTCTCTTTCTAGGTCCAGCTCTGAGACAGCTTTATATGTCTCTTTAGCCCACAGTAATCACATTTCCTCCAGAATCATTGCAGTTAATCTTTTTATGGTAGCCTCAGTATTACAGGAATTTGCTTCAGATTTAACTGCTCCTCCAAAACATTTAAATAGTCTTTTAAAGTGTATTGATACATATATATCAACTCCAAAGGGAATACTCAGTATAATAATTGTTTGGTTTTATGGATGAGTCAATACAATATGCACCTTGAAGTGGATGCCAAAACACAAACTGCAGTACTTGGCCATCCTTTATGTGGCTTTTGTAACAGATACCTACACAGACATGACAATTAACCACAATTGGAGGGTCAGTGTGTTGCAGTAAATGTTGAACCACCTAAGTGAGTTATCTTCTCTTGTATGCTCAAGTCAGAGCTTTTAGGTCCCGGGGCCTTGCCTTCAGAATGCCTTAATAAATTGTCAAACTGACACATGTATAATTAATGACCTTTTTGTGAAGTCTTCTTTCAACTAACGAATGGGAAGTTAAGTTAATAGTCATTCATGGGGGAAAGTTTGAAAATTAAGCAAGTAGAAAACCTAATAAAAGTGGAACTTATTAATAAATGTCTGTGCATGTTGAAATGATTTGTGACTGTTATTAATGTATGAGGAAAGCTTCCTCTTACTGATACCTCTAATGAGTAAATGCAAAAGTAACAGATCTGAATGACTTACTTCCATTGCTTGAATTCTACTTATTATTTATATCACTGTTCTTGTTGCATATGAGGAATACATGAGAGATAGTATGGAGTGGTGGATAGAATGCCATACTCAGAGTCATCAAGATGAATTCAAATCTAGCCTGACACTTACTTGCTATGTAATTCTGGGCAAATTATTCAACTTCTCAGTGATTCAGGTATCTCCTTAAAACTTATCTAACAAATTATAGGTTATAATCAGCATTAGTGGAGAGTATAAAGAGTACAAATTTTGTGGTTAAGAATAGCATATTCTATTTCTTCATATGATCCCTTTCTTCCTTTTCTCCATTAACTTCTTTGCATGCATTATTTAAGAAAAATATTAGTAGATTTGGAATCCATATATTTATAAATATAAATCCATATATTTTTAAAATTTAATTATGGTATCTGTATAGGAAGGGGGTCAGAGAAATTGAAGTCTTATTCATTTCTTAGACTTTGTGAATTTCATAAAGACAAGTATAGGTCTTACTGGTAAAAAGTCAAATACTGAACCGCACATGTGTAGTAGCTTATATTTATACAATGCATTACAAAAGTTGAAAGACAAAACTTTCACTGCACTACCATTAATGATGTCACTGATGGGGGTGATCTTTGTAGTTACAATGACTTGGAATCTATGTAATTTGAATTAGTATTTAATCAGTTATACTGTTAAAATATATTTACCTTTTATTAGTGATAAGTTGATCTTTTTTCAGTAAAATTTAATGATTATTTTCATTCTTACATCACTTATATTTCCCAATATTTGTCCCTTGCCTTACTTTATAAATAATAAGACTTTGCAGGAGTTGGGGCAAACCTCACTGGTAAAATGTGGGAATGATAACACCTACCTTACAGAGTTGTTGTTGTAAGGAGCGAATGAAATAACATATGTAAAGTGCTCTACAAACCTTAATACATTATATAAATGTTAGCTATTAAAGATGCATTGTCTTCACTCTATTTTTTAACAGTTGAAATTGCAGGTGAATCTTGGGGCTTTGAAGCAAGTGGCTAGTTAATATCAGGAGCCGCCTTAGCAGCAAACCATCATCTTGAAGATGACTAGCCTTCGAAAATTCTGACCCTTCAGTTTTGCCTTGCAATGAAAAAACTGGGGACATAGTGTATGGATGTAATATAAATTATCTTCAAAATGGTCTTGGTTGCTTGGTCTCTGTTTTATTTTCTTTGACTAATGAAAATAGGTAGTCATATGTTACAATCTGTGGATGTCCATATACATATACATGTATGTAATTATGCAAAAGATCTGGGATTTTTGTCAGCATGGAGAACTGCAAGCATTGAAAGTCTCATCACAAAGGAAAATCATAACCTGAATGTGACCTTAGTAGTTAAGCTAGCTATAGGCTGCGGCTTGAGCTACATAGAGGTTGTGACTTGCCTAGGGTCATACAACTTTACAGTATCAGATATTTGGTTGAATCTGGGTTTTCCTTATTTGAAGCCTAGTACGCTCTCTACTTTGTTTACCTTTTAACCACTTTATATTATCTACTTCATAAATATTATTAAAAAGATAGGTGGCCATTTTTTGCCTCCCATTTTGCTGAAGAAGAAGTAAGGTAGACAAAGAAGTGAAATCACTTTCTCAAGGTTATATGGTGATTCAGTAGCAGTGCCAGAAATAGAAATCTTCTGATTTCCGCTTGGATGCCTAATGTTACAAGAAAATTTTAACTTTTTTTTAAAAAGAGATTGGTTCTATTGTATTTGCAAATATTTGAGGAATTTTATGTTCTCTACATTTTACATGACACCATAATTTTTTTTATTTTAAAACCATATATATACTATTTTGTTATTTTTTCCCAAAAGTTTTTACTTGGGTACCATCGGTGTAATATTCATTATATTTCTTTCTCTCTTTGCAAATCGCTTGGATGACATATTCCATGTGGCAACAGTGTAAATCCAGACTTCCTCCAGGGGTCCTTTATTTATTGACTATTTGCTCATTATTTAGGCATTGTTTCTGGTTTCTTCCCACAGCTTACCTTGCTATGACTGTCCCTGAAACGTCCAAAGGCCAAGAGAGCATTTGCTGTGTCCTGGGGGAATTGTCTCTGGCCTTCATTATATGTGTATTTGGATCAATTCACTGTCTGCTGCCTTGGAAAGCAACTTGATTATTATATCTATGAAGTTCCATAGGCACCTTTTATTTTGAGCCACAGCCCTAAATAAAGGAATAGATGTTTTTCTCTTTGTACTGACTAGAGAACATTAGGAGAAAGTTTATAGTAACCTGTTTTTGTGTATATTAGAGAAAGTTGTTGTTCATTTTCTTTTCTTTCTTTCTTTCTTTCTTTTTTTTTTTTTGAAACTTTACATCATTTAACCCTTCTTTATTTCCTTGTTTTCGGAAGCAAAGATGGTCTTGCTATGCTACCAGGAGATAATCTCATGGGGAAGACATTCATATTGAAACTACCTTACAATCCATTCAATATGAATGCTTCCAATTTTTAGAAAAGAAAGGGATATGGAAAATGAGAAATTTCATTAATATACCATATATGTAAAGCATATTCCACAAAATGCCATATATCTAGAGCCATCAAGGAATGACGTGTCTTTTCCCCTATTTTCCAGACTACTGATGCTTGCCTTTTAAATTGTCAAAGAAGGTTTTTATTTATATAATTTTTGATGGAAAACTTTCAGAAATATTACATGCTTCTAGGCTTTTCTGTCATAAGAGGATCTTGAATTCTTTTTAACCTTTGCTTGATGACTCCAGGTCATTATTATGAACATGCTGTCCTGCTCTGGACTATAATACAGCAATGCCCCCAGGTCTGTTGAGCTATGTTGGGCTGTTTGTCCCTATAGCAAATGGACTAAGATTGCCATGCTTTTTAAGATTCTGAATCTGGTTTTAGTAGTATTTTTTTCTTTTGTTTGTTTTTTCTATCCCCCTTTCTGTCATCTTTTCAGCTGTTACTTCTTAGGGCTATCAAATGTGCTTTGTGCTCAACCAACCTTGTTAAAATTGCATATGGAATAAGAGAAAAGACCCTCTGAGGGGTTCTCTTACAAGTAAGATGCAGGGAATTTAGTGGATGAATTTGGGGATGTAAACTTTGACTACTTAGCCCATTTCAACAAATCTACTTCTGCCAGGTGTGATGGTACATGCTTGTAGTCCTCTCCTCCTGTGGACACTGAAGCTGGTAGATTACTTGAATTCAGGAGTTCTGAAATACAGTGAGCTATGCAGGTTGGGTATCCACACAAAGTTTGACACAAATGGGGAATCCCTGGGGAAAAGGAGCCAGCGGGCTGTCTAAGGAGGGTGAAACTACCCATGTCAGAATCAAAGCAGGTAAAAGTTTCTATGCCAAT